TCGTATAATCATTACTCATATTCTATCACTAGTTATTTATTGCGTCGAGAAATGAAATTTATAGAGAGAATCGAGTTCATCATTCAAATTGTAAACGTAAACGGCGTTCTATCTTCTAACATAAAATGCCATCGTGTAAATTGTACGGCACACAAACACGTCCATATTTATATTTTCGTTACGAGATAACGCGTTACGAAAGAATCAAGATCGGGTTGAATGGGATTAAAAGGGATTTCAAGAAGATATATTAATTTTCGTAACGAAAACATTCACTAAAATATTCTTAAATTTTACGATTGTTGAAAATATTATATAAATCAACGAGGATTAAGAAATCATAATTTAGGACGTCCTAATCATACGATTAGGACGTAAAAATAAAATTTCGATGTCTTAACGACCAATATTAAATAATTAATTTTATCTTTTATCTTTTATTATTAACGATTATATTATGCACGATTTCGTTATATTATATATTTTATGTTACATCACATATCCCTTTCACAACATAGATTCGAGCGCCATCAGGTATAGGGAATTGGAACCTATTTTGAACGATGTGATGGCGCGCCTCAATTGCGAAAAATTTTCGATTTTCTTTGCGAAGATTTTTCACTCTTGCCTTGTTCGTGGCAATAATTGTATTGTTAAAATTGTATACAATTACGGTTTGCAAATTATTGCAAATTAATATTTCGTTATGTATTAATTTAAAGAGGTTTTGGAAATAAAATCTTATTCGTCGAAATTCGTCGATTTTATTCGCGATCGAATTTTTGCTTTGACAATGATATTTTTCTCTTTAGAACGATTGCGGAATAGTGTCGATCTAAAATGTCAGCATAACGTAAGACACACACGAATACATTTAAGAAATTTAATTTTGATGACAGTAAAACTTTTCATACGTGCATAACGATGAGAAATGAAATATTTATCTTTCGTCGCTGTAATCTAATAAATGTATTTCATTATCGAAGAATAATTCGATAAATTGTAATTGACAGAACGAAAGGATATTTAATCCAGAAATTCAAAGAAATTACGAAAATTTTGGGAATAGATATAGTACTTATATAAATATTTCTTTTTTTTTTTTTTTTTGAAATCAACTCTCGAAAATTCGATTATTTTTCGACTCTACGTTATAACTCGCGAATTACAAGAAATACGAAAAAGTTTTATAACGATATTTATTAATCGTTTATATAAACGAAAAAAATAAAATTCAAAATTTTAATCAGCAGTCTGAAACGCGATAATTCAAAAAGAAAAAAAAAAGAGAAACGAAATAATTGTATTTTTAATTAAATACAAAAACTTTGTTGCGCTGCTGAACGTTTCTTTTATTTTGTTAAATTAAATTTTAAAAAATAAAGCAATTTATATTATATCGTATTAAATATTTCCGTATTTCTTATCAAACATTGGTTCAATATGATATCAGAAGAAAGGAAAAAAAAAAAAAAATAAGATATAATTAATTTACAAGGTCTTTTTATTTCTAACATTGTCGTCAATTTTTTTTATGTATCAAATAAATTATTAAACGGAGATTCTTCGGTGAAATTCTTTAAAAAAGTGTTAATAAATATAAATTACGTTAAAGTAAATAAAAAAATTTGTTGTACCATTACAAATCGTGTGTAATAATTGCCGCATATAGAATGAAGCGAGCGTCCTTGAAAACCTTGTTGTGAAAACAAGTTGAATTTTGGATTTTAAAAAATTATGTTTATTAAATATTAAAAAACATATTAAATTATGTTTCTCGTATATAATTCACTCGTGTAATCATGCAAACAAAAATATCGTATACTTGTTACGAAAATTGATTATGAATGAGAGACTGTAATTTATTTGATATTTTCTAATTTGAATTCAAATTTATGTAAGATTTTAAAAATCAAACAGTTTACTTTTAAATCTTTCGCATTTATTATTCGTTTTAATTTAGAAAAATGTCACTCGATAAAAAAATATTCTTGAAGAAAAATAAAAAAAAAAAAAAAAAATAGAAATACATAAAATTATTTTTTTTATTCTTCACGCTTTTTTTTTTCTCTCTCTCTAAAATTTTTTCGTCATTATTCGATGAAATCACGTAAAATAAATCGATCAAAATTATTTTTTATTGACAATAATAAATTTATCCATAAGGAAAATTCATCGTTTCGATTATGCGTAAAAAATAAAGTTTAATGAATAATAATTTCAATTTTCAAATTAATTTAACTATTATAATAATTACAATTTTTAACAACATCTTTATCCATTTTATTTAGAACAAAAAATTATAGATTATATTCGAAAAGGATTCGAAATTAAATTTTAATTTATTTTTTTAATCGAAGTGATTAAAAATTATTTTTATTATTATTATTTTTAATTATTCAAAATTTTTATTCGCCAATATTAATATTTCTATTAGACTCGACGACGGCCTCTTCAAATCAATTTGACAGTTTTTTTTGACAGTTTATCTTTAATTAATAATCCTTAATAATTCTCGATAATAATAACACTTTGGGCCAAAATTTAAAATCCAAATTTAAAATCCATTGAAAAAAATAATTACTCGTTTACCTTAATGACACCTATTTTCGTATTTACGATCGTATATATATCGTATATAAAACAGCACAACGGTTATTATTAGTATTGTTTCTTTGAAGAAGAAATTATCTAAACGACTCGTCGTTAAACTAAACATTATCCATATTTTATCTATATAGATCCATTTATGGTTTGTCTCGGTTTTTTTATGCCAGCTCTCCATGACTACCCTCCCCCTTTCCCCTCTCCTCCAAGGAGACAACGAAGCATCAGAGAGAAGCGAATCAAGGTTGGTTGTCTCTCAAGGGATAGCTTCATTCTCTCGATCTTGAGCAAGTTGGAAGGGAGAGGGAGAGGAGAGAGGGAAAGGTAAGTCTGAGAGGTCGTAAAAGTTTCGCTTTAGTTGAACAGTAGAGGAAGATTAGTATATGTACATATATATATATATATATATATACAAAACAGATGGAATATAATAGACACTCGTGGAATCGTATACGTGTCTGATTGTGGTTTTTAATTATTCGTGGCCCAGTAATATTAGTGATATTTCGTACAATCGCACGGTAAATGAAACGATACACGAATGAATAAAATGATAAATTCGGTGAACTGAATTCGTATTTCATCCGTTCGATTCAGTGTAGTTCTCGTTTAAAAAGAATATTTTGGTCGCCGTAATTCACGTGCAAGATTCGGGCCAAGAATGAAAGTTTGACGGAACGAAGTCACTAACGAATATTCGTTTATATCGTTACATATCGATAGTCGAATTAAATTAATGTAATTATTAAATTGTAGAATATTGTTTGTATTAATTTATTTTTTTTTTTTTTAGTTTTTAAATTAATAATATTAATTGAAGAGTTTTTATAAAATTTAGTGGTTGTTTTAATCTATTCTTAATTTATATTTAATATTTTTTTTTTAAAACAAGATCAATCGAATTAATCTTGCTCCAAAGTTTGATTTAATCGAAGGTGAGGTCAAAATTAGTATCAGAATTCAACAAATAGAATATTATTGAAGAGAATATTATAACTTTTTTTTTCGGGATATATAAATATTATAATTAATATTTTCTTTTTTTTTTTTTCATTCAATTTTTGAACGTTAATATTTATTTTAATTCATTCAACTTTATCATTCGAATTCGAACGAATTATAAATATTTTCCAACGAATCGAAAATACATTTATCGTGAAAATTATATAGCCTGTTTCAATATCTTCAATTATCGGTCCGATGATTCCATTTTCAAAGATTTTTTTTTTTTTTATAGAGTTAATCTTTCATCGAGCAAAATCAAGATTATTCTTCTCTTTATCAGAGTGATCTCAATACATGTTATTAGAACCACCGTATCGAATTTTATACAATTTTAGGATATTAATAATATTATTTGTCAAAACGATTTAGATCTCGAGTGAATTAACATTTTGGATGATAATAATAATTTTTATTAAGTAAAGTTTTTTAATTTGAACGACCTAATTTGCACAGAAATTTTTTTACAACAAAGTTTACACAATTTACATACTTATAAATACTTAATAATCGAAATAAGACATTACAGAATGCATAATAAAGCTTGTCCTTATCCATGTTTACATTCTATGCATATCGTTCGATCGATCGATAGATCGCAACTTTCATCCGATTTTTACCTTGCGCGATCGCAATTAATTCAATTGCAAATGTAAACATTGAAATTAAAAATGTCACAACAAAAAAAAAAGAGATTGCAGGAAGCAATTACACGACACAATTACACGTATAAAAATGATGTCACAAACATAAATGCAGAGCAAGGTATACATATATATATCAAAATGGCCGACAATGACATTTATAAAATTGTTAAAAATATTAGGAATATTCGCGAAAAATCTTTTTTTTTCCAATAATATTAACCTTTCCTCCCCCATCTTACCATCTTACCTCTCATTCTCCCTCCTCTACTACCCCCAAAACTTTCCAAATTTTTCATCTTTTATGCAATAAAACTATTTTCTTCTTCTTTCTTTCTCACAGAATATTTCTCAATAAAGAATCCTTAGATAGACACAATTCAAACTTACGCTACAATTTATTAACAAAATTAACTTTAAATTATTAACAAAAATTATTAACAAAATTAATTTTAAATTATTAATATCGAAACGTAATCGAAATTTTCAATGTGAGGAATGTGAACATGTGTCGACAACGCGTGTTTATATCACTGTATTAATTTCTGCGAAAATAAAACAATAAAACAAATTATATCCAGTAATTCGACTGGATAATAAATAAATTAACTCGATCGATCAATGCGAGCTCGGTTATCTCGATCGTTCAAGAAAAATTTATCCTCGCCTCGGTTCATCACTCGGTTCAAAAAATTATCGATCGGTATAGGATCGAGGCGTTTCGACGTTTCGTTGCGCTTCGATGTGGGAGGGGGGGAGGAAACGAATTATGTTATGAATTACATAAGTGAACGTTTGTCGATGCGTATATTATCGCGGATGCATACGAACGGAATTGACAACTTCGAGCGGTCTGATTGCTTGTGAGAAAATTATACATAGGAGGGTAAAAACTTATTTATTAAATCTCATCTATTTTCGTCGATCGATAAATCAAGGAGGCTTAGGTTAGTTGCAAGTATCGTCGAAAGGAAATCGAAGGAGGAAAATTTTTCCATTATTAGATATTTCTATTAGTGATTGGCCGATAAAATATTCTAACAATATTATAAATTAATAATGCATTTATATTGCAAGTTGTATTGACATCAACGTCACCGCGTCGACGTTATAAATACGAATAAGATAAAGTCATGAAAGTGCAGTGTTACTGAACAGCTTAACGCAGAGCACAGATCCTCTCTCCATCAACTCGAATCGAGTCTAGTACGATCTATCGATCGATCAGATCGATTCTGGAGTTGGATAAGAAATATATACATACATACATACACACATATATATATATATATTCTAATTTTTCTAATTTTTCTAATTTTTCAGTTCACCCCTTTTATCGCCGCAATTTTTAAGTAAAAATTACGAAGGAAAAAGAAAGGAAAATCCTTTCGAGAACATGAACAAGAAGGCGCTCGTTCTGCTGACAATTCTTCAACTTATTCACGCCGACCGGCGTTCCACCCTCCCCCACCCCTCGGACTGTTCAAACTGGGAGGACGAGAAAATCGATTGCGCCGATCAGAGCCACGAGGCCTGCCTGGCGAGGATCGATCGATCGAGGAACGAATGCGCGATAAACGTTGGATCGCCCAATGGGCAATGCTGCGCGGCAGGGAACAAGGGGATCGAGACGATTAATTTGGGTAAGATTTCTCCTTTGTTATTTTTTTCTCTGAAAAATCATTTTTAGAAGTTTTATATTGTTATTTTATTTCGATGACGAAGGTGAATTCGAGTAACGAGATTAAGTTAATTGATAAATATTTTACGACGAGGGTCGATTTAATTGTTGAAATATCTCATCCAAAAAAAAATATTTTGTTAAAATTGAATATTAGATACAATTTCAATCATCTTATAAAATTACTAAGAAAAGTATAGAAGAAATTTTAAATACGAAAGTTGTTATTATTATGGAAACCTAAAATCTCAAAATTCAAATTTCGCGCCATTTCTTTCGAGCAACCGGAGAAAGAAATATAGAAGGCTTATCCTTCTTATTAAGGAAAATTCACGATAATATAAACTTCGAGAGAAGTTGTATTTTGAATTGGCAATAGCCAATAACGGGACTGAAGTTTTGTCTCGTGCAACACGAAAATATTTATAATCAAAAAAAAAAAAATTGAATACTGAAGAAGTGGTAAATCGCATTTTAAAAGATTTTATTTACTTTATTTTCATTTTAATGGTAAATCAAAGGATCAAGAGATATTTCAAATTCATTATTCCACGATGAAATCATTTTTTTTTTAGATCGATCTATTGAAATTATATCACGATTTACATACCTGTTTTATATATATGTAAATTACTATATAGAACGACACGGATAGAGAAAAAGAAAAGAGAAAAATTGTTCAGAAACACTTTATATAATATTTCTATTTAAAGATAATTTATGATGTAAAAATCACTCTCTGTTGAATCATCCATCCCGATTAAAAATTTAGATTTTGGACTATCTCTTAATATATCCGTGATGAACGGATTTGTGATTTCGTTTGCAGGATCGAATTACGAGAGGAGAAGCGAGTTTCCTCTTCGAACCGAGTTGATGAGCGACGTGCTGCGCTTCACCCCAAATTTCACGTTCGTTCAAACCGTTGAATGCCGGGAGCAGGTTAACGTTTTCCTACGCGAATTGAGCAATTACAAATTATGGGCCATGGAAAGTGAGTCGAGACTCGATTATCTTTTGAATATTTATTAATCTTAATCTTCCATTATTAACCCTTTGCTCGCCAACGTGACTCTAAAAAAAAAAAATATTTTGTCAAAATCGAACGCTAGATATAATTCCAATTATCTTATAAAATTACAAAAAGTATACAAAAAGTAACTCTCCACTGGGATTGTTGAGGCGATAATATTTATTTGCGTTTGATTTTTAAAACAATATTTTAGAATTCATAAATAGATAAACTCTTTACTATATAACCTTACGAGTATGTAATTTTATCTTATGAGTAATTATCTTATGATAACCTTATGAGGGTTTGAGTCTGGAGTCGACCGAGCGAAACAGGTGTGGAGTGCAAAGGGTTGCATTCTCAATTTGGAGACTTTTTTTATTACACAAAGTTCATTTTTAAATGGATTGAAACAGTCGTAACATACATTTCTCTCGTGATAAAAATTCGTGCAACGGGGGGCTGAATTGTGAAAAAGAAATTGGATATCGACGAACGATAAAACAGAGCTTGTTCGAAAAATGTTTTTAAAATTATTACACGAAAATATGACGAATAAATTCTTTCTTTGTGACCCAGTGTTGGACTCGAACGCGAAACTGCCATCCAGTTTACTGCAAGGGAATCTGAATCAATTTGGGGATTTCGATCAATGCTTGAACGTGATGGCGCACGAGATGTCGAGCGGAAGGGAGATAAAGATACAGGGGAGGTACTTTTTGACGAATATAGACATCGACGCGACCCATCCAATTACGGAAAATCTGGTTTCCACCATGAAGGCGTATAACTTGTTCACGTCGCGTTTGCACGAAGTAAATCAATTTTCTCTCGTCTCTCTCTCTCTCTCTCTCTCTTCTAAACGAAAATAATAATCGCCAATCGAGATTTTTGGAAAATTCCTTTCCGACAAATCTCGTGCGATTGTAATTCCTGTGCACGAATCGAGGCCGAGAAAACGAAACGTTTCGAGATGAAACGTTCGAGCTCGATTTTGTTCTCTCTCAATCTTTTTTACAGGAACGTGGACACTTTTTCCCAAAATTTCCCGTGATAAGGTGGGCGTTGTGCCTCCCGTCCGTTTGCTCCAACGAGGACGCGAGAAGCGTAATTCAACACACGCTGAACAGTTATAATTCAACCGTGGGGATTAAATTTATGGTTCGCGTCGATCCTAACATGAGCTACGTGAAGTCATCATCGAGTTACGCGAAAGAGACAATCTACGTTTTGTAGGTATCATGTATATATATATATATAAAGGGTGTCCCAAAATTCAGGCAAGATATATAATTTTAATAGGAAACGCTTTAAAAATTGTAAATTTTTAAATGATTCGTGCACACACTTTTGTCCAAATTTTCCACGATCGTTTCGCGTGAATATGGCTGAATTTCGTCGACACAGCGCTCAATTTCCACCTTCGAGGCGTGGCAAACCTTAGACTTCAAAGAAGCCCAAGGAAAAAAGTCGAAGGGCGTTAAACAGCACGATCTGGCCGGCCGATTCCGATCACCGAAACGGGAAATTACACGACCAGGAAATGACTCGTGCAATGATTGAATAGTTTCTCGAGTTGTATGGCACGTGGCGCCGTCTTGTCGAAACAGCGTGTCGTCCCCGTCCATATCTCGCAATTTAGGCACGAAAAACTGGATTATCGCGTCGAGCACCGTTCACCGTCATTGCCTGACCAGCCGCATTTCGAAGAAGAACGATCCGGTGAATGTCCTCCAATCCGAAATTCCCGCCAAAAAGCGACGCGTTGCGGATGCGTCCGTTTCTCAACGATCGCCCGCGGATTTTCCGAGCCCCAAACGCGACAATTTTCTCGATTAACCGATCCATCGAGACGAGAACGAGCCTCGCCGTTGAACGCGATTTTGCTCGAGAAACCTTCGTTATTTTTTGAAACGTCGCTCGACAATGAAAACGCGTCGCTCTTTCGCTTGAACTGTCTTTAGCTGTCTTTTTCTTTTTTTCGTTGGCAACACTTTACTTCTCGCGCGAAACGGCGGAAAATTCAAATCTCAGTTTGAATTTTGGGACACCCTTTACACGCATATATTTAAATTAAGAAAATTCTAATTAATTCTAATTAATTTCATTCGTAAGAAAAGAAGAAAATCTGACGAACGAATGAGAGTCGCACTACGACTCTCTTATTACTCCTTTAATCGTTTCTTTAATCGTAGATGTTTCTTTGCAATTGTCGCATGTCTCGTTGCAGCAACAACGATGAGAGATTACTTGATGACGCGTGAGAGGGAGAAAGGTAATCAATTTTCATCAACAACAACAACAACAACAATAATCTTGCACTTATATTTCAAATACCATTGCCCCCATTGTAGAGAACAGTTTGGAGAGGATAGCGATGGGATTCTCGTTACGAAGGACCGCGAAATCTTTGTTCAAAAAGGAAACAGGTCCCAACGATATCACGTGCATACACGGGATGAAATCCATTCTGGCCATACTTATATATTACGGGCACAATATCATGATAACGTCCGTAATGCCGTATATGAATCGAATCTATTACGTGAACGTAAGAACGAAAAGGCTCCACTGTTCACAATTCACCGGCTATTCTTTTTTTAAAATAATATCGACAATATATTTTTGAAATACTCGTAATATTTAATTTGTATTAATCCCTCGATTATAATTTTGCTAGTCGAAGAAAATCCTCCCTCTCTCTCTCTCTCTCTCTTGGAAAAATTAAACGCACATCGAGAGAGAGAGAGAGAGAGAGAGAGAGAG